ATGCATTCTCTTCTCAGTATCGCAAGGAAAAAATCATGATTGATAAAATATTTCTCATCACCATCATCATTGCTGTTGTTGGAGTGAATTCCACAACGGTAGCGGAAAACTCATCCGAAGCAAACATCACAATGTGCCCGGTCTGTCCGGAAATCAAATGCGCACCCTCTACCTTGACGGACGTTCTTCTATTCATCTTGAGTTTACTGGCGCTTATTTGCTCCGCTCCGTACCTGTACTCTAAGTACATATCATCCGACTGCAAGTTCCGTTTCATCAGGATGGCCCGGAAAAATAACAATCGGAAAGTTGATGATATAAGTGTTGATTTAAAGTTCGGAGAAGGAGAAGGAATCGATGTTTGTGGTTGACAACCCTCACGTTTTTAGAACGCGCATGTTTTCTGAACGTTTACGTTTTCTAAACGCGTTTGCGTTTTCTGAACGCGTTTGCGTTTGCGTTTTCTGAACGCGTTTGCGTTTGCGTTTTCTGAACGCGTTTGCGTTTGCGTTTTCTGAACGCGTTTGCGTTTGCGTTTTCTGAACGCGTTTGCGTTTTCTGAACGCGTTTGTTCTTTCTGAACGCGTTTGCGTTTTCTAAACGCGAACTGTTTTAAACTGTAACTTTAACTGTAAATATCCAACAAAAAAAAAAAAAAATAATAAAATTTTTTGATTCATCAAACTGAATATTGCAATATCCAATCCCAGTCGCTCATCGCAAAACACAAGGTTCCCGTACGCATTTTCAAGCGCACATTACTAAAAAATGAAAATTACCGAATCAGACCCTAATCTCCAGTGTCCGATACCAGCCCCATACTGTAAAATACGGTCTTTCGAAGCCGAAAATTTTACAAGTCCGAAATCTCGGAAACGAAAAGTCGTATCGAAATTCGATCCGTACAGTTTTCCGATCTTCGAAAGTGGAAAAGAATCGCATCGATCCGCAACGGATCGGAGGAGGGTGATTTTCCGAAATTTTTTCAATTTCCCGGATCAGACCCTAATCTACAGTATCCGATACCAGGCCCATACTGTTAGATACGGTCCTCCGAAACCGAAAATTTTTACAAGTCCGAAAATCCGAATTTTTTGCACAATCTGGCAACATTGTATCGAAAAATTAACTAATTTCTCGCCCCATCTGGCAACACTGTAAAATGCGATGTTGCAAAATTTCACCGATAATTAAATAATTTATTTATGTCCACCGTCCGGCAACGCTGCTGCGCCATCTTGAAAAATACACCGTTGCATAAACCGCAGATTGAAGGGGCTACATTACACGATTGCATAACCCGACCATTGAAGGGGCAACATGCAATACTTTTACTTTACAGCGTTGCCATATTGAACAATAATCCCTATACAACACTGTAATTTAATTCGTATTTTTCTGCACCATAATGCAACGCTGTTGGATTTTTTATTGAGCAAGATCCCCATTTTCTCCCTACTCTTTTCTAACACCCTGTATACAAGGTGCCTATGATACCGTTAACATCGACAAACTTTACAGTATGACGAAGGACCTCAAAGTGAATAATCGACTAATAGAACTCATACACAGCCTCTGCAATAAGAAAAACATCTACGTAAACTTTGGAGGTGTAACTTATGGCCCTAGAATCTCCCACTCAGGACTCCCACAGGGAGCTGTTTTAAGCCCACTGATGTTCCTAATATATACTAGCCAACTACACAAGAGAATAAACAGTTGTAAAATACTGGAATTTGCGGATGATATAGCAATAATGAAGAGAAGTAAATACTTGCACGAAGCTCTTCCACAAATTCAAACTGATCTAGACGCCCTGATCAATGAACTCGATGAACTATCTCTAACTGTCTCACAAGTTAAATCCAAAATTATGATATTTACAAGACGTAGAAAAATAGAGCACACCCCGATCTTAATCTATGAGAAACCCATAGACTTAGTTATCGAATTCAAGTACCTAGGTCTCATGTATGATCGAAAATGGACCTGGCTCCCCCACATTAAATACCCTAAAGACAAAGTAAATGCTAATACTAATCTCATCAGAATGGTGTCAGGAATAAAGTGGGGATGTCATCAAAGCTCAACTAAAAACCTATTTAAATCACTAATCAAATCGACCTTAGATTTTGGAGTCCAATTTTGGCACAACGATAGATCGGAAAAAGTACTGAACGTGATTACAAATAAAGCAGTGAGAACTTCATTTAGATTTCTTAAATCATCACCCAATAACTCAATATATGTTGAATCAGGAATCCAACCCCCGATTCAAAGAGCTCAGCAAGTGACAGACAAATACATACTTAAAATCAGCAACATCTCTTCGACTGCAAAGGCCGATTCCTTCAATAAAATACTCGATGACTTACAGAGAAACAACTATAACCATAAATACCCATCCTTACTAACCAAGAGAGCAACAGATCTCTTACAACTAAGGTAAGGAGTAGCAACATCAGAAGAAGTCAGATTTGACAAGTTCCAATTTCCAGTACCAGAAATTTCAATCCTGTTTCCAATCACGAGGAAAGGAGATCCTTCTAATAAAGACAAATACATACTTAAAATCAACAACATCTCTTCGACTACAAAGGCCGATTCCCTCAATAAAATACTCGATGACTTACAGAGAAACAACTATAACCATAAATACCCATCGTTACTAACTAAGAGAGCAACAGATCTCTTACAACTAAGGCAAGGAGTAGCAACATCAGAAGAAGTCAGATTCGACAAGTTCCAATTTCCAGTACCAGAAATTTCAATCCTGTTTCCAATCACGAGGAAAGGAGATCCTTGTAATAAAGCCATATTTGCCCAGTTTGTAGAAGAGAATAAAGACAGTGTGTTCTTCTACTCAGATGGTAGTAAAACTGATGAACGAACAACAGCAGCGGTAGTAAGCCCTGATATAGATGTCAACCGAACATACATTCTAAACCACAGCAGAACCATAATGAGCGCAGAAATAAAAGGAAATAAGGAAAGCCAAACCTTAATTTGACTCTACAACGTCAGGAAAGCTATAATTTGCTCCGACTCACTTAGCGCAATTTCTCTTCTTGCAACAAAGAACACAATAACCAATTTACCAGGAAACGAATTAGCAGATAAATAAACAAAAATCTTAAGTAATGCCATTGACTCGTCCAACGAAAAAATTCACCACTCCAACTATTTAAAACAAGCAAAATCATCTACCCTTCGAGAATGGCAAGAATCCTGGACCGAAAGCTCGAAGATTAAAGGAATTAGACTCGGAGGGATCCAACCAGTTGTTTCAGAGAGAGCTTGGTTTGAAAACATAACACTAAGCAAGAAATCAACCAACATTATTTCTAGGATGCGTATTGGGCATGGGCTATACCCTCAGCACCTCCATAGAATCAAACTCAAAGATAACGATTTGTGCACCTGCGGTCAAGTAGGCACAATCGACCACATACTCCTACAGTGTCCGTCCTTAACCCACCAACCAACCTTAATCCTCAACATCCTAAGGAAAGAACACCCTCAAATCAACATCGACTCAAAATTTATCCTGAACAAATCTAATCTGGAACTCTATCAAGCTTTGGAATCGCACATTTTAAACAACCAAATTTTGTGTTAATAAAGTGTTAATTTCAGTGCAGTGTATGGAACGGCTTCCGTAACCCTAAAAAAAAAAAAATTCCGAAAAAAAAATATACATAATTTTTTTTTCGTGAAAAAAAAAAAAAATTCCGAAAAAAAGTATACACACTTTTTTTCGTGAAAAAAAAAAAGAAAAAATCATCTTAGGACTAGGTCGAATAACGGCTGGTGTTGCTGGGAGACTCCAGCGGCCGATGCCCGTTGATTCTACGGACTGATGAGTGTTGAAGACCGATGCGCGGCAAGCCGGGCATATTCAAATATTTCCCGCGCAATTCCAACTGAACCTGCTCCTACCTCCTTAAACACCCCTTCAATCAAAGGCGGAGTTCCGATCTGCGGTCCTCCCTTATTTCAAATAGCCCAAGAGTTTCATATAAATATACAGAGTGGTGCACAAGTCAAGGGTTTTTCGCACCCGTTCCTTTCCTCGAGCAATAACGGGATCCCACTGAATCCCGCTAAGCGGTAACTCGAACTCAAATTCGAATTTATAAAAGGGATAAACAACTTTTCCTTGCCCTTCCCCCCTCCCTACTCCCGCTCTTGCGCAATTAAATACGGATGTTCCCTGAATAGGTAAGCTGCATCCGCACTTTTTTGAAGTAGGTAACGGGTCTACGCGTCTCGATTATACACAGTCCATGCAATTAAGGATCCAACTGTGACCCCTAGCAGGTTCAGTTGGAATTGCGCGGGAAATATTTGAATATGCCCGGCTTGCCGCGCATCGGTCTTCAACACTCATCAGTCCTTAGAATCAACGGGCATCGGCCGCTGGAGTCCCCCAGCAACACTAGCCGTTATTCGACCTAGTCCTAAGATATTTTTTTTTTTATTTTANAAAAAAAAATATGTATACTTTTTTTTCGGAATTTTTTTTTTTTTACGAAAAAAAAATATGTATACTTTTTTTCGGATTTTTTTTTTTCACGAAAAAAATATGTATACTTTTTTTTTCCCCCGAATTGTTTTTTTTTAGGGTTACGGAAGCCGTTCCATAGCAGTGGCTGTTTGTTGAAAAAGTAAGGCCAAGGATTCTAAAGAGGGCGCGATAAGCTCAAAAAAAAAAAAAAAAAAAAAAAAANAAAAAAAAAAAAAAAAAAAAAAAAAGATACCTAACTCCTAGCTTATTTTTTGGCGGTGAAAGGTATAGACTGGTGATATTGGCTGTAACCGTTGTAGGCTATCCACGAAGTTGTAAGGTGTTAAACCTGTGATCGAGGTAATGAAACGTACATTTCGGATTTGATCCAGATTTCAGAGCCTTTTAACTTCATGCGCCAGAGGCCCAGAGGCGTGTACTCCTCCAATTTTTTTTTTTTTTTTTTTTTTTTCCAAGATGGCTGAATGCCGATAGCAAGTGTTTTGTTACTCTCCTGACAACTTTATTTGAACAATTAACTGAGTCAATTTCTTGTGTTTTTACTTTTTTCATATAAAAGTGCTACGTTTTTTGCTTGTTCTAAGTGATCGTTTTTGGCATTTTATCGGCAGCTGACTGTGAATTTTTTGTCCCTAAGTGTTATCGGCAACCTAACCTCAAAATGTTGTCCTAAAGCTTCCTCGCTCTACACTGTGTTGCCGATCAACTATCAAAAATTTGACCTTGAAATCAGCTGATAGAACTAACAAGAGGCAAAATGGTCCGGTCTCGTGTGACCAGCATCCTAGCGGCGACCGGAGCGCCACATCCACCAGCGCAATCCACCGAGAATCAGTACGCTCTGAGATCCACAAACAGCAACCAACTCTCCCGTTTGAGCTCGCCACCGTCAATGCAATTGTCTCAACCGAACCCAAACAAGACTCCAAAAATCAGCTCTAGGACAAAGATAACAGTCAAGGCAATGCGGCAGTCTCCTGTCGGCTCAAATAGTCGCTCATCAATAAATAAAGCCGAGATCCAACCACACATCTCTACTATGATGCCAAACCATGCAGAGAAAATTTCCACCACAAAATCAACGAAAACAGCAAAACCTAAGAAGAAAAATGCCTCTCCCACTGACACCCGGGCAAACGCTGACTCTCCAAATTATGCTACGACAGGCGTTCAGACGGATCCGGAACTGGATCTACAATGCCAGCGCGACTCCTTGATTGAAAACAATTGTACCCTTAGAAATAATAATAATTGCATTACAAAAATAAACAAAAAATTAGGTAATGAAATAAAGGTATTAAATGAGAAAGTTGATGAATTGAAAAAAGATATTCTGAATAAGGAAGTATTGACCCAAAAACTTGAAGAGGAAATCAGAGAGTTAAATACTAGAATCAAAAAACTAATTACAAAAAATGCAATCTTAGCTGATAGCCTCACAAATGGTAACTTTAGTCCTAACAGTGTATCCACCATAAATTGTTTTGAACTATCCACCCAGTCTGGAGTTACACTTCCTCACTATGACGGAGAAAATATAGTTTTAAAAGATGATCTTAATCCCAATTTTATTTCTAATAGCTGCCAAAAGTCGAAGAAAAAAGTCTTGATTCTTTCTGATTCACACGGTAGAAATTTAGCTCAAATGCTAAAAAATAGACTAGGAAGTAATCAACACTTTGAAACTCATTCAATTTTTAAACCAAATGCCCTTTTCAAAAATGTCATTGAAGACATTGGAAATTTAACCAAGGGCTTCACGAAGAATGATTTTGTATTTGTAATCGCTGGTTCTAATGACTTATTTTACCATTATGAAAGCCCTAAATATGACTTGTTTACTGAATTGTGTAAAGCAGCACGCCTCACTTCCCATACAAATCTTGTAATTCCTAAACTATTTCATAGGTTCGATGTTCCCAATTATGTAGCAATTACTTTTAAAAGATTTTACGACCAGCTCATATTAAGAGCAACAAAAATGTATAATCATGTGTCAGAAATTGACTTTGACTATCTTAGTCGCAGCCATTTTACTTTCCGAGGACTTCACTTGAATACCAGGGGTAAGCAAGAAATTGTTAAACTAATCCATGACAGGGTACTAGAAACTTTGGTCACAAAATCTTTAAACTAGAGCTTAATGACGAAACTACACAAATGGATGTAGCTGATTCAAATAAGAGCTTGAATTACACAAAAACAGAGGGCGCTCACCTTAAACTGTACTATCAAAATACCCAATATATTTCAAATAAAATCGATCTATTAAATGACTTCCTACAAGAGATTAACCCTGACATCCTATGTCTTGTTGAGCATGGACTAAAGTCACATGAAATAGCGCAATTAAAAATTAGTGATAACTATAGAATTGTATCTAATTATTGCAGAACTAAACACAAAAGTGGAGGTGCATTAATTCTTGCTATAGAAGAACTTAGAATTGAAATAGAAAGTAAATGGTCGGCCAAATGTACAAACGAAATGGACATAGAAATTACATCTTGCATTGTGAAGGGTCTCAAATTTAAATTGTGCATAATTGTAATATATAGGTCCCCAAATGGAAACTTAACAGTATTTTTCGAAAAGTTAACTGAATTGCTAACCCTTGTAGATCCAAATGTTAAAACAATAGTAGTAGGAGATTTCAACATTGACTTACTCGTTGATGATCATAATTCGAAATCATTAATAAATACAATGATAGAAAATAACTTACGACAGCAAGTTTTCATACCCACAAGAGTAACCGAATCAACGAGCACTCTGATTGACAACCTATTCACTAATTTACAGAGGAAAGATTTTAAAATTGAAGTAGTGGACAGCGCATTATCTGACCATTATGGAATTGAACTCAATGTATTAAAAGATTTAGGATGCAGAAAAAAAGAAAATAGAGGATATTTTGTGAGAAAATATAATGAGAACATACACATGTTCAGAGCAAATCTAATAGATCTAAGTAAAAGCAGAACAAATGAAGATATTAATTCATTTATTCAAAGAATTTCTTATCAACACAATCTGTATTTTCCCTCCAAATTCAAGAAAGCGCCAACAACGTTAAATAATGTAATCAAACCAAATATTAGAGCCAATCACTATAGAATTGTTAAAGAAATTACGGAAGAAATGAAAAATTTAAGGAAAATCACAAAAAACGTTCAAAATTTCCAAAATGAAAAATATGCTGAGCTCAAAAATAAACTCAAAGAACAGAAGCGTGCCTACAAGTTAATGATATTAAACGAGAAATCAAATAAGGTAACAAACATACTAAAAAATTCTACAAATATTTCTAAAACTACCTGGAACATTGTAAATTCTAATAAATCCTCAAAATACGAAGCATGTACGATTGATGAACTATATTACAAGGGAAAAGTTGTAATTGGTATAGAGGAAATCACAGAAGTACTAAATGATCACTTTGTTGCTATTCTAAATAGGAACTCCAACATTAAAATTGACTTTAATAACTTTGACTATTTAAAATCGCATGACAATGTACTTTATATCAATCCAATCACAGTGGAAGAAGTAGAAAAGTCAATCGATAAGCTAAAAAATAAAAAATCTGAAAGCCATGAAGGTATTAGCAACTATTTTCTAAAACTAATAAAGTACGAAATAAGCCCACTCTTAACCAAGTACATTAACCACTCAATCATAGAATGCGAATTCCCAGATTGCCTGAAAGAAATCAAAGTAATACCTCTGTGGAAAGACAGTGATCCCACCAACCCAGGAAACTACAGACCATTATCAATTGTATCGCCAATCTCAAAAATTTATGAGATGTCCGTAGTACAGCAAATTAATAAATTCCTTAAAATAAATAATTTACTCTGTGATAATCAGTATGGATTCAGGGAGAAACTAAGTACTGAAGCGGCCATACTTAGATGCTATGAAGCAATCATCAGCACAAAGAAAAAAAACCCTGTTGTTGTAATCGCTATAGACATAAGTAAAGCATTTGATTCGGTAAATCATGATATCCTAATGTTCAAACTAAAAAAGATGGGATTTGGAAAAGAAGCTCTTAAATGGATAAAAAGCTTTATGTCACAAAGAAAACAATATGTCCATATGAGGAAAAGCAATAAGAAATATAACTCAATAAGTAGAATGATCTATGGAGGCATCGCGCAAGGATCAATGATAGGGCCACTACTATTTATTCTGTTCATTAATGATTTAGCTATATTTTTAAAAGTAAAAGTTAAATCTCTCTTAAAATCATTTTTTGACCTTCTATTGTTCGCTGATGACATCCTCATAATTCTAAGCAATATCATACTGGAAAATCTGGAAATTGATACATTTACTGTCATGAGTTATTTTAGCCAATGGTGTAAGATCAACCTTTTTAATGTAAACACGAGTAAATCGAAATTTTTGCTCTTTAATGTAAATAATGAACTGATCAAGGACTTCCAAGTGCTACTAGATGATGAGCAAATGGAAAGAGTAGCCGCTGCAAAATATTTAGGTATTTTGTTAGATGATACTCTTAAATTCAATGACCATGTTGACATCATGTGTAAAAAGCTGCATGGCGCTATTTTTGTGTTGAGAGTCCTATCAAGATTTTGCGACATGAATCTGTTAATGGTAGTGTATCATTCTCTTTTCCTATCTCACATACTATATTGTATCAATGCCTGGTCAACTTGCAATAATAAAAAGATCGAGAAATTATTCATAACTCAAAAAAAAAGCTATTAGAACTATGCTTAAATTAAAGCCTACAGAATCTTGCAAGGAACATTTTAAAAAATTACAAATCTTAACTGTTCCAGCATTGATCATATACTCATCTTTGAAATTATACAACAACAAGAAACTACAGGAATCGAGAGTGGTGCACAACCACAACACCAGAAACAGAACAGAAAGTCTAATCATAAAAATTAATAAAACAGCGGCTCGAGGCCATAACTTTTTCTCTAAACTACCATCAAACATAAGGAAAAAAATTAAAGATGAGCCCCGAAGCCACAATGCCCTGGTCAGACATTATCTAATTGAGGAATGTCCATATTCAATCAACGATTTTTTAAAGGGGACAGGTTGATATCATTGTCTTTTTTTCTTTTTTTTTATATATACATATATTTATTCTTGTTTCTTGTTTAGAAAAATTCGACGCATTTGTAGAAGCCATGTGCAAGCCAAAAAGCAAATAAAGATATATTATTATTTATTATTTATTATTAATTGTTCTACGCATTTTGAGCCCTGTTGGCATTTGATGGTATACAGCAATGTCAATGAGAAACGCGTTTTTTCCCCGATTTTGTCGAGGGGAACATTTGCGGAATGATCTTAGCAGTTTGGATTGAGAGATCTCAGTATAATTCGAAGTTACTATTTTCTAGTATGGTCTTGGGTGAATAGTTGTAATATGGAACTGAGTATGGATGAAGCTTACGGTCGAGAGCGATTCGTTGACGTATTATTTTCGCTACTGATTGTGAGTTATGTCTGTTGGTGTATTCCGTGCCTGCTATTAGTTTACATCCTGCCGTGATGTGTTTGATTTCAGAAAACTGGCGACATTTCCTTTAATTTTCGTCTTTGACTGACCCATCTTTGATGATGAACTTCTGATAGTTCTCGGTTGTTATGATCATATCTCGTATAGCAAGGGTAAAACTTTCCGTTTCTGGGAATAGTTGACCACTTTGCAGGAATTGGTCCGACAGTTTTTCGGATATGTGGTCCTTACGCACGTGTTTAATGCGGCGTCCATTAAGAGCTTTAGATTCCAAAATTTCCACGTCTAACTGACGATTGCAGCTATAATGTAAGTTCCTAAGAAAGACCTCTTAATTGTTTTTTGCAAGTTTACACATACACAGTGGAACGCTGGAATATGTAGCACACACAACCGAAGGGGCGCCGAGGCGAAAGAGATGAAGGTACACACACTCGATCTCTTTCTAAAAAGGGGGGGGGGGAGTAGCTTCACCAGCGGAAGGGTAAACGTTATTAGGGGAAAAGCGAGGAGCCTTCCGCTGCTCCTCGGAACGAAGGGTAGGTAGGGCACTTTGACAAAACGAACTACACGTTGGTTCTCGGGTTTCTACGGACACTTTAATTCTAAACTTTCGACGGAATCCTCTCCTCCAGACTTTCAATAATAACAACAAATGAAACACACTCTCAGACCTACACGCGGCTCCCGCGCGGAGTTCGTTTAGAGCACGGCGTGACGGGCCAATCGCGACCTGGCCAGAATCGCTGATGAGCTAAAACGAGACTGATTTCAGAGATTTTCTGAAAATTGCGAGTAGCGTCGCCTTAGCTTCCCTTCTCCCCTGCGGTTCAATCCTCCGGGCCAATCAGGGCCTTACACAGGACTCTGATTTGCCGGGCTGACTGCGTTCACATGGGAACTGAGGAGCTAAAACTCTGTATGACATCACTTTGTCTCATCCTTGCAATTTTCAGCTGAGCTGTTGTCTGGACAGGAAACACAGAGCAACGTTTCTAACCGCGATGCTTGTTTTTCCCATGCAGGCAGAAACCCAGACTCTGCGTCTTAGCAATACGGTTTTGTAGGTGATTGAGTCTACTCAGTGACCCTTCCCCAACTTGTCAGTGGATTCTAGCGCTCGAATCCATTGCAACAGGTATTATGTAGTAAAGCTTAAACTCTTCAAAATTGTGCTCAACGCTGTCCGCTTCTCTAATACCTGCGTATGAGAGCTTTCCCGCTTGCTTTTTTGTTTATTTATTTATTCATTTAAATGAAATGAGAAGAACACATTTATTCATTTATATTACAGCTCTAAGCGCTCCTAAAAATTGCCGAAAATTCGTGTCAGGAATTCCTCTCCCCGCGCGACGCACCGCGCAGACTCACTGACCGCTTATCCCAGCGGCAGCCTCCCTCCCCCTCCTGGCGCGCCGCGACGCCCGTCCCCCTCCGACTGCTAGGCAGAATCCCCGCCCCACCACCCGCATCAAGTATCGCGCCGCGCTCATCGGCTTCTTTAACACTACGCAGCCGCGGCCAGTGGTTCCTTTCCATCCCTCTTTTGAGTTGCAACGAGCAATGCCGTCTACCCGAACTTTCTAGAATTTTCCCAAACACAAGGAGGGTGTCTCATGGCGACGAGTAGTAACTTAGTCTGGAACTTTCTAGAACTCGCTCGAATTTTCATCATTCAGGCGACAGTTAGTGAAACGATGACCTTCATTAATCCTCTCCAGAACTTCATTGAATTTTTTCGAACTTTCGTAAGGTTTCATGACTGACAATAGCTTCTCTCGAATGAAATGAATTAGAAAATAAATTTGTCCCAACTTTCTCCAGGCGATGCGCACTTTAATCGAGGTCTTCGCCGTGTCCTTTTGGGAGCTTTCTGGAGTACTCTTGGATTTTTGGAAGTCTGTTGCAAGACGGCGTTCTAGAACTTTCTCGAATATAATCAAAGTGGTAGTCATGGGAATGTGGCTCAGCGAGCCACAAGGCTCGCGGAGGGAGTGAAGGGGGTCCAGGGAGCGAAGCTTCCTAGCCCCTCGAGGAGGGCGCGCGATTCGCCGTTTAATATGCGTAAACGGGGGTCCCGCCGGCCGGACCTCTGTGCGGCGCCACTCCTTCCCTTCCAGTCCACTCCGGCCCCTCTCCGCTTCTCCGCCACCCTTACCCGAGACTCGGACCTCGACGCTCACGAGGCTTTTTCTATGGAACGCCGTTTGTACGAAAACCTATTTTAGGGGGAGGGGGGAACAATTTCTCTTGAAGGAGAGCGATTCTCGTTGGGAGAGAAACAAATTCCCGACGGGCAGCGAAACTTTTACAGGTGTGGAAAAACTTTTTTAGGTGTGGAGATTGAATTTCAGCGAGGCGTGGAAATTCTGTGCTCCCTTCTCCTGATTAAAATGTTCCCATCCCTGATCATGGATATACCGAATATCTGGAGGAGAAGTGAAAGAATAAAAAATCCTGCCCTCCGCCGCACGTTCGATAGCGCGACTCCTCTGCGCGGAGAAGGATCTTGCCGCGGGAGAATTGATTTCGCTATATCGATTGAGTGNGGGGGGGGGGGGGGGACAGCTTTAGGTGTAGAACCATTTTTGCGCGGTGAGGAGCCGATCGCGGCTGCTCGGTGAGGAGACGGATCTTGCTGCGGCACAGTGTGTCCAATCCCCTGTCTAGCTGCTTAAAACCCCCCTAATATCAAGTTGTTTACATGTTTTTCATCGTCAGAATANGGGGGGGGGGGGGAATCTTTACTCTCTAAAGCGCCAGAAATTACATTTGAAGTCAAGTTTCTCGGTGAGGATGTAAACATTTTCGTTAAACTAAAATGTTCAATAAAATCAGCGGCCCAAAAAGCATTAGTTCCATTAATTTTTAAAACTGTACATTGCATTTTCGAATAAAGTTCCGTTAAATCCAGTCTGTGGACTATAGTGCGCCGAACAGTCGCGATCGACTCTACACCGAGAAATATTTCTCCACTTCACTCAATCGATACGTCGAAAGCAATGCAGCGCTCCCGCGGCAAGATCCTTCTCCGCGCCGAGCAGTCGCGATCGGCTCCTCGCCGCGCAAAATTGGTTCTACACCTAGAGATGTTTCTCCACCCCACTCAATCGATATAGCGAAATCAGTTCTCCCGCGGCAAGATCCTTCTTCGCGCAGAGGAGTCACGATATCGAACGTACGGCAGAGGCCCAACTTATACGAACCCGACCCAGAGGAACACGTATTATCGGCTGAGAAATGAATGATTATCACACTTAAAGGTTAATAGTCGGCAAAAATATCCATCAAAGTTCGATCCGAACTCAATTCAAAAGTTGATCATAAAAAAATTTCTATCACAACTAAAACTACGTCTAGAACTTCGAAGACCTTTATCGCCTTCTTGTTTGTTTACATTGGGCCAAACTAGGAGTGGAGGGGCTGGGGTTTGTTTGCATTGTGTCAACTTCGGGCCTCCATGATAGCCGACCAATCGGAGAGCGGCACCCTTTTTCTGTAGTTAAAGGACTGAGATGGCAATACTCTCCCGTATACAGGTACTCCAGGTAATTCCTCCGGAACCTGACAATTGTTTTGTTCTCCGAGTAATACTGGAGAGAAAGTTGTCTGCAGGTGCTTGACACCAGAGAGTATGGAAGGTTATAGGCCCGACTGGATAGGGAAAGCCTGAAACACAAGTTTGCAGGAAAGGCAAGAAGTTGCGTACGTCGACGCGAGAGCTTGTTAACATCTGCAACTCGTTAACAATAGATTTGCAGTAGTTAGCGTCATCACTGATCAATGAGCGAGCTGTAGGTACCAGCGCGCTCTCTTGTCAACGTACGCAACTTCTGCAGCTTCTGTTTCAGTTTTCTATCATTGAGTCGGGCCTCTAACCTTCTATACTCTCTGCTTGACACAAAGCCATTAAACAACAGAAAAAAATACTGGAGAGCTCTCCGAAGACTCAAACTATGCACCATTCTTCGTGTTCGTGACGCCACAGATGAATCCTCTACGTGCGCGCGGATTGCAATTCCCTTCTCTGTTCGTCATGGGCTTTCAATTTAAACTGTCATTTTTGGGTAGCTCTATCCTTTTGATAGATGAATAGAAATGAATCGATAAGATTCCATGTGAGCTTTGGGTAAATGACCAAAGTAATTTTCTAAAGTCAGGCAGCAAAATCATTTACTTTGGATGCCTCATTATATAGTTAGCTGTCCCTTCCAAAATTCAAGTGTCTCATTATAACTTGCTTGCTCACAGCGTTTAACACTTTAAAGTTGCATATTATGAAATCGTGTTTTGATTAATTTGGTCATTTCTATCTTTGTTGTAGGAAAGAAGCCCACGATGACATTCAGTACATGATCGGGGAGGTGAGTTTCACCACAAGAATAATCCTACTCCTCATTCATTCATCATTCATATCGTGATGTTGTAGCACTGTTTCTTCGTTTTAACCGTAGCGCCGGCCGTAAAGATGCTTTTTGAATACCGAACGTGTACGAACCCCCCCCCCCCCCNAATAGCCATTTTAAAAGCCCTTAAAGTTGATGCAATGCACAACTTCCGGAAATAGGATGTTGAAGGCTTAGGTAATTTTCGTGAAATAGGTCACCAGGGGTGAGGATATAGAGGGCAGTTACAGGGCAGTTATTTTGGGGACGAAAACCTGAAGTTAAAAACTTCGACGCGAGCATCAGTGAATATCCAATGAACTGGAACAATCGATCAAAACGCTAACTGCTTATCGGAGTCAGAGGTCGCATTACTATGCAGCTTTAGCTTCCAGTCGTTGAAAAAGCAATCATGAATAGTGGGTATCCCAAAAGCACGGCACACTTGTCTTTGTGAGGTGAACGGAAACAGATATCAAAAAATGTTTCATATTAAACCAAATTCCTAGGAATAATGTATGAACCCAAGTGAAGCCTTGTAAATTAAAGATTGACTAATTGTATTGTGTCATCATAGAGATTTAAAACTTCGACTTTTAAGTCGATTTTTTGTTCATTTCTGACAGGGGAAAAAGGATCTAAAGAAGCTGGTTTTCTTTTCTAAAATAATAACAAAAAAATAATAATACTAATTATAATGATTCTAATAACAAAAAGGCAGGCCCCAGGCGTCTTTTAGACACCCTCCTCCAGGCAGGCGTTTTTCAGACACCCTCCCAGCCTTGGTCCCTCAAAATAGGTATCCTAGGCTGTGACGAGCCGCCGCCGCCCCCCGGTGGGATTGAATATACCATCAACCGGCCATCCGAACTAAAAGCAGCCAGCATACCCAGGATCATTGTTTGCCCGTGTGTGAGAGTTTAAAGCAACCCAACACTCGCTGGTGTACAGTAGTCAGCTGAATAATAACAGTAATATAATATTATGTAATAATGTAATAGTATGTATTACCGACTTCGGCCTCTGGCCCGTCAGTAATACTTATACCGAGCAAAAGGTGGAGGAAATAAAAGCCGCGTATCAAACAAAGAGCTTGAAGGAAGTAAATGAGGTTGCCGAGCACCTCAAGGAACGAATATCAGCATTTGCCCAGCGCATACGGCGCTACAAGCGGAGGACGAACCAATACAAGCAAAACCTACAATTTCAAAACAATCAGAAAGCTTTCTACTGGCAACCTCGCCTCAACTTCGAGGCGAAGTTGCTAGTGGGATGGAGAAAACGCCTGAATTAGGCAGAATATACGAGAATGAGGCCGAGCACAATAAAAATGCAGAGTGGATTGAAGAGCTCCTATCAAACTTCGAAATGGAGTAGAATGAAATAACAAAGGCGTAGGTAGCAACCATCATTGGTAAAACAGCAAACTGGAAGGCACCAGGACCAGATAAAGTGCATAACTAGGTATTGGTTAAAGCATTTCCGATCCCTGTCCTGGATGGCTTACTCGCGGCGTAACCTATTTGATACCGAATACAAGAGGGGCAGATAACCCAGAGAACTCCAGACCCACCACTTGTCTGAACACACTGTAGAAGCTGTATACAGCTGGCTGAAAGGATCTGCACATTTGCAGATAGAACGGGAGCATTGCCGATAGAGCAGAAAAGCTGCCGAAAGGGAGCAAGAGGATGCCTAGACCAGGTGCTAATATCAAGATGGGTCGTTATCGTAAAAAAAAAAAACAAACGAAATCTAGCGATGGCCTGGATTGATTACAAAGAAGCCTTTGACAGCGTACCACATTCCTGGATTTTAAGGTCCTTACGAATGATGGGAGTCAACCAAAAAGTAGTGAGTGCCCTCGCAAACATGATGCAAACTTGGGCCACCCTACTTCAAGTGAACATAGATGGGGAATTAATATCAACGGAGCTTATAGCAATACAAAAGGGAATATACCAAGGGGACTCTCTCTATCGCCTCTCCTATTTATCATCTGCATGTCACCGTTATCTCGTATGCTTAAAGCGCTCAGACACGGATATAAAGTCCGGAATTCAGCGGTGGGGAAGAAGACCTAGAAGTGCAATTGAGAGAAGTGAAAAAGTTAAGTAAGGATATACAGGGTGCGGCAAAAGTCTGGAGATGGCCGTTTATTTTTTTAACAGTTGCAGTTGGAAAAACGGAATTCGGAGGATGTTAATTAAGAGCTATTTTATGGCATATCAAAAAAATTTTTTTTTTTTTGGGGGGGGGGGAGCACCACCCAAGGAGGTGCGGACCCCACCTTTATTTTTTCAAAAGGCAACCCTCCACTTGTGATACTGTTTTAGAAACAGCATAGAAAAATAAACATTTTCGCGCAAACCCCGAGCCGTCATCTTGATTTTTTCACAAAATGACGGCCAAAAAATTGCGGAAAATGAGCACCTACAGAGTTTTCCAATCAATCTGCATGAAAATTTGTATCTAATGGGTTTTAGGACGAGTAAATCGAATTTGGCATCAAGTTTACCTCATCGTAAAAATTTTCCATGATGGCGGCATTCAAGATGGCCGAAAATTGAAAATTCCGGTTGTTTACCGATGGGTTTGTATGAAACTTGGTATCCGACGGTTTTTTGGGACGAGAAAATCGATTTGGCATCAGTTCAACCTAATTTCCATAATTTTCCAAGATAGCGGCATTCAAGATGGCCGAAAATTAAAAATTCCGGTTGTTTACTGATGGATTTGTACGAAACTTGATATCTAACGATTTTTTGGGACGAGGAAATCGAATTTGGCATTAGTTGAACCTAATTCCCGCAACCTTATTTTCGCGCAAACCCCGCGCCGTCATCTTGATCTTTAACAAAATGGCGGCCAAAAAATTGCGGAAAATGAGCATCTACGAAGTTTTCCGATCAATCTGCAAAAAAATTTGTAGCCGACGGGTTTAAGGACGAGTAAATCGAATTTGGCATCAGGTTTACCTAATCCCCAAAATTTTTCAAGATGGCGACATTCATGATGGCCGAAAATTGAAAATTCCGGTTGTTTACCGATGGGTTGGTATGAAACTTGGTATCCGACGGTTTTTTGGGACGAGAAAATCGAATTTAGCATCAGTTTTACCAAATTAATTACAGATAAGTACATAAAAATGTTAAATTGGTAGAAAAAAGTATAAATTTAAAGCAAGTGCTCGAAGTGATAACCTCCTACGTCTTCACTGATTCCCATTCAAACGTATGTACCTTGACTCACGTTGTGTAAAATTTCCGGAGTGATGTTGTTAATCTCGTGCAGAATATTCGCCTTGAGCTCATCAACAGTCGCCGGTTTGGACTTGTAAACTTTACTCTTCAGGTCTCCCCACAAAGAAAAGTCTAAGGGGTTAGGTCTGGGGAACGAGCCGGCGGAACGGCCAAGCGATTTATAACTCCCCTACCACACCTCTACCGATCCAACGATTTGGAAATGTATCATTCAAAAAATTCCGCAGTATAAGACTGCAGTGCGGGGGAGCACCGTCCTGCTGAAACCACACTTGCTGAAGTCCGTCTTCGGGGAACAAATTTTGAATTGCCGGAACTACTTCGGTTTGGAGGAGCGTAAGGTATCGTTCACCATCGAGATTCCCATCAATGAAGAAAATGAAGAATTTGTGCATTCCTAAAACTAACAAAACTTATGCTCAAATAAGCCGCGATTTTTAGAGGACTCGATGATAAGAGAAAACCGGGAACAAATTCGTTTTTCTCTCCTCCTCCCCCCCCCCTTCCCAACTAGTTGCGAGCAATTCCAGCGATAAAACGAATATGAATACGTAAATCTTAGTTCCTCAGGTTGGTGGCGGGATCTGTAAAAGATACACCTCAGAGTAGTAGACCATAAGATCAAATTACTATCCGTACCAGTGCCATGATGAGCAGGAGTTGCTAGAAGGTGATTTAGAAAAACGCGTCCAGTATTGTGAACAAATTCGAAATAAGTTTGACGGAGACTTACAATTTTTAACACCGTCAGACTTCTTTTTGTGGGGGGGTCCTGAAGAGTAAAGTTTACAAGTCCAAACCGGCGACAGTTGATGAGCTCAAGGCGAATATTCTGCACGAGATTAACAACATGCTCAAGGCGAATATTCTGCACGAGATTAACAACATCACTCCGGAAATTTTACACAACGTGAGACAAGGTACTTACGTTCGAATGGGAATCAGTGAAGTCGTAGGAGGTCATCACTTCGAGCACTTGCTTTAAAGGAGGGGTATCGATAAGGGCCTTTTTTTGGCCCCCTCCTAGAATCTGGATATTTATGCGGGTTTTCCAAGTTGACTCAATGTAGTTTACGGAAATACATGATTTAGCCCATAGGCCACTGGAACCGTGTTAAACGGTTGCCTAAACATAGGTCTGCAGGCGTCTTCTAGCGAAAATTCGTGTTTCTCTATCATTCCGAGGCTTTTTTGACACCGAGCGCATCGTCTAACTAAAACGAGCTTTTGATATGTCATTAAGGGGGCTTTAGGACACATTTTAACCCTGGTTTGGTTTCAGTTGGACGATGCGCTCATAGTAAAAAAAAAACTTTTTCAAAAATCAATGTTTAAGGGACATCCACAAAAATCTTAGGGAATTATGTGGTAAGGGTTTTTTTTGGCTACACTTAAGGAAAATCTCCTTGTAAGGGTTTTACAAGGCTTAATAAGTGCCCTCGATAATATACGTTGCGTGCATATTGTTGGAGAGACGTGTTCCCCATGATTTTTGCGGATGTTCCTTAAACATCGATTTTTGAAAAAGTTTTTTTTTTTTTACTATGAGCGCATCATCTAACTAAAACCAAACCAGGGTTAAAATGTGTCCTAAAGCCCCCTTGATAACATATCAAAAGCTCGTTTTAGTTAGACGGTGCGCTCGGTGTCAAAAAAAGCCTCGGAGTGATAGAGAAACACGAATTTTCGCTAGAAGACGCCTGCAGACCTTTGTTT